CATCATCATCATCATCATCATCATCATCATAATCATCATCATCATCATCATCATCATCATCATCATCATCATCATCATCATCATCATCATCATCATCATCATCATCATCATCATCATCATCCCTCTCCTCGGCCCGCCGGCCCCCCAGGCCCAAGGGCTGCGCGCCGCGCCCACCGGGTGCGACCCCGACGGAGGCCGCCGCTCGCGCGCGCGCGGCGCCAGCCTCAAGTCGGGCTTGTCCCTCCACAGGAAGAGCATGAAAAGATACAGTTAGCCTGGCGAAGGACCCAACCATATGCAGTTGTGAGTACCGCAATTATGAATATCTTCTTCGGTGCTCCCTATGGGGCCACGAAGCGTTGTACTGGGTGGGCGAAACGCAGGGAGCAAGGGCTGTGCTGGGTGGTGGCTGACGCATGCGGGCGGTGCCACTGGGACCTTCGGTGGAGCTCCATATGGGGCCACGAAACGCTGTACTGGGTGGGCGAAACGCAGGGAGCAAGGGCTGAGCTGGGTGGTGGCTGACGCATTCGGGCGGTGCCAGTGAGACCGTCGGTGGAGCTTTCTATGGGGCCACGGCGCGCTGCATTGGGTGGGTGAAACGCAGGGAGCAAGGGCTGTGCTGGGTGGTGGCGGACGCATGCGGGCGATGCCACTGGGACCTCCGGTGGAGTCCCCTATGGGGCCACGAAACGCTGTACTGGGTGGGTGAAACGCAGGGAGCAAGAGCTGTGCTGGGTGGTGGCTGACGCATGCGGACTGCGCCGCGGGGACCTTCGGTGGAACTCCCTTATGGGGCCACGAAACGCTGTACTGGGTGGGTCAAACGCAAAGAGCAAAGGCTGTGCTGGGCTGGGCGGTGGCCGGCGCATGCGGACTGTACCAGTGGGACCTTCGGTGGAGTTCCCTATGGGGCCACGAAACGCTGCACAGGGTGGGTGAAACGCAGGGAGGAGGGGGAGGAGGGCCACGAAACGCTGTACTGGGTGGGGGGGACGCATGCGGACGGTAGACCTGGAACCTTCGGTGGAGCTCCCTATGGGGCCACGAAACGCTGTACTGTACTGGGTGGGCGAAACGCAAGGAGGAGGGGGAGGAGGGCCACGAAACGCTGTACTGGGTGGGGGGGACGCATGCGGACGGTAGACCTGGAACCTTGGTGGTTCACCGCCTCCCTCGCCGCCAAAGGTCCGCCAGTGGGGAGGAGGAGGAGGAGGAGGAGGAGGAGGAGGAGGAGGAGGAGGAGTGGAGAGGAGGAGGAGGAGGAGGAGGGAACGGGTCCTGCGGGAAACGGGTCCTGCGCTGTTTCGCCGTGGTCGGCTTCCGGGGGCCCCCCGCGGGCCAGGGGGCCGTGAGGACACGGTTCTGGAGGAAGAGCCGGCGCTGCCCCTCGCGCTGCGACGGAATCGCGGCGCGAGGTTTTTGTCGCTGTTTTCGGCCTCCGGGGGCCCTCGCCAGCCCTCGGGATCATCAGACAAATGGGCGCGGGATCGACCTCCAGTCCCGGGGAATGGGTCGAGGCCCCTGGGGGTCGACGCTGTGGAAAAGTCATGACGCGGGGGTCTGGGAAGGCCCTTGGGTCCGGGACCCGTTTCCCTCGGGGCACGTTTTCCCCATGCCACGAGGTTCGCAGAGGGGGGGTTCTCCCAAGGGGCGGTCCGGGGAGAGACCCGCTGGAAGTTTGGATTGTCATATTCCAGGAGCCGTTGAGAGAAGTGTTCCTGTGACCCTGCATCTGCCCCCACCCCACCTTTACCAGGATTTCAGTGCCTCCAAATCGCGCGGCGATCTGGAGGACAGGGGAATTCTGATGAGGACAAGGCACGGATACTGCCACCTCCTTCCCCCGTTTTCGCATGTTTCAGCGTCATGGGAGGCCCTCGTCGCCACGGCTGGATTTGCCTCGGAATCCTAGTCAGGACGGACCCCTGGAGAGGCCCGGGGAGTAGCAGGTATCGATATTTCTGGGTTTCCCAAAGATTTAGGTGTAAATCGGGCCTGTCCCTCTGCAGGCGGAACAGTCAAAACTATGAAAAATTAGCTTGACGAAGGACCCAACCATATGCAGGTGTGAGTACCGCAATTGTGATTCACTTTTTCGATGGTGATCCCTATGAGGCAACGAGCCGTGCTAGGGTTGTGCCGACATGAGCGGCGTGGTACACAACGCGAACGAAAACGTATGATCTGAGTACGTAGGGAGACTGAGCGCGGGTGAATCTGAGCGCGAGTGCGTCTGACTGTGAACGAATCTGCGTGCGAGCGAGTCTACGTGCATGAATGCGAGTATGACAAAGCATGGTGTAATTGTATACGAACGCCAACAAGTTTGAAAACGACTGCCTCCGAGTACTCGTGACGCTGGGCGTGGCCGCCGCAAGGAGCTTTCCCTGGACTCCCCGACGGCATCGCCCGCGCGCCGCGACGCCAATGTCGGCGCGCCCCCCCCCGCGAGGATCGCGCCCGCTTCCTCCCCTTCTTTTACTCCCTCTTTATCCGCGCACTCAAAAGCCCATAGCTGCGGGCGCAGCGCAGCGCGGAGTCCCCGCGACGCGCGCAGGTCGCCCCAGAGGGGTCCCCACGAAACGCTGTAGTGGGTGGGGGAGACCCATGCGGACTGCGCCACGGGGACCTTCGGCGGAGCCGCTATGAGGCCACGAAGCGCTGTACTTGGTGGGGGAGACGCACGTGGTACACGCCACTGGGGCCTTCGGTGGACTTCCCGATGGGGCCACGAAGCGCTGTACTAGGTGAGGGGGACGCGCGCGGACTGCGCCACGGGGGCCATCGGTGGGGCTCCATATGGGGCCGTGAAACGTTGTACTGAGTGAGGGAGACGCATGCGGACTGCGCCACGGGGACCTTCGGCGGAGCCCAATATGGGGCCACGAAACGCTGTACTGGGTGGGGGGGACACATGTGGTACACACCACTGGGGCCTCAGGTGGACCTCCCCATGAGGACACGAAGCGCTGTACTGGGTGGGGGAGACGCACGTGGTACACGCCACTGGGGCCTTCGGTTGACTGCCCGATGGGGCCACGAAGCGCTGTACTGGGTGGGGGAGACGCATGTGGTACACGCCACTGGGGCTTTAGGTGGACCTCCTTATGGGGCCACGAAGCGGTGTACTGAGTGGGGGGGGCGCATGTGGTACGCACCACTGGGGCCTTAGGTGGACTTCCCTACGGGGCCACGAAAAACTGCACCTGGTGGGGGGGGCGGACGCATGTGGTACACACCACTGGGGCCTTAGGTGGACCTCCCTGTGGGGCCACGAAGCGCTGTACTGGGTGTGGCGGACGCATGTGGTACACCACTGGGGGCGGGGGGGGGGATGAAGAGGGAGGAGGAAGAGGAGGAGGAGAAGGAAGAGACGCGGGGACCGTCTCTTCAAAAGCGAGGACCCACCACCACAGGGCGGCTGGGAACTAGTCTGGGGGCGATGTGTTCGCCCACTGGTGAGCTCACCCGCCGAAGGCCCGCAATCCACAGGCGTTTCAGTGGCGAGGGGCAACTTAGGGTTAAATCGGGCACGTCCGTCTACAGAAGGAAAAATGAGCGACATAGTTGTTGTTTAAGAAATAAGGGGGCGATGTTTTGACTATTTCGACTGTCTTGACCTATTCCCAACCATCCTGTGGTGTTGGGTCAACGTTTTGAAGAGACGGTCCCCGCGTTTTCCTGTCCTCTCCTCTCTTCCTCCTCCCTCCTCTTCCTTCCTCCCCCTCTTCCCTGCGCTTCACCCACCCAGTACAGCGTTTCGTAGCCCCATAGGGAGCTCCACCGAAGGCCCCAGTGCCACCGTCCACATGCGTCCCCCCCACTCAGTACAGCGCTTCGTGGCCCCATAGGGAGCTCCACCGAAGGCCCCAGTGCCACCGTCCACATGCGTCCCCGCCACTCAGTACAAAGCTTCGTGGCCCCATAGGGAGCTCCACCGAAGGCCCCAGTGCCACCGTCCACATGCGTCCCCCCCACTCAGTACAACGCTTCGTGGCCCCATAGGGAGCTCCACCGAAGGCCCCACTGCCACCGTCCACATGTGCCCCCCCCCCACTCAGTACAGCGCTTCGTGGCCCCATAGGGAGCCCCACCGAAGGTCACAGTGCTACCGTCCGAGCGCGCCCTGAAACACCCAATTTGGCACCCCCACCCACCCATTACAGCGATTCGTGGCCCCAAAGGGAGCTCCACCGAAGGCCCCAGTGCCACCGTCCTCATGCGTCCCGCACACCCAATGTGGCATTTTCACCCACCCAGTACAGCGTTTCGTGGCGCCTCAGGGAGCTCCACCGAAGGCCCCAATGGGACCGTCCGCAAGCGTCCCGAAATACCCTTATGGCATTTTCACCCACCCAGTCCAGAATTTCGTGGCCCCGTATTGAACTCCACCGAAGGCCCCAATGCCACCGTCCGCATGCGTCCCGAAAACCCAACGTGGCATTTTTACCCACCCAATACAGCGTTCCGTGGCCCCTTCGTGAACTCCACCGAAGCCCCCAGCGGGACCGCCCGCATGCGTCCCGGAAGCCCAATGTTGCATGTTCACCCACCCAGTACAGCGCTTCGTGGCCCCATAGGGAGTTCCACCGAAGCCTCCAGTAGGACCGTCCGCATGCGTCCGGGAAGCCCAATTTGACATTTTCACTTACCCCATACAGCGCTTCGTGGCCCCATAGGGAGCTCCACCGAAGCCCCCAGTGGGACCGCATGCGTCCCGGAAACCTTACTTGACGCACCGCTCACCCAGAACAGCGTTTCCCCCCACCCAGTGCAGCGCTTAATGGCCCCATAGGGAGTTTCACCAAAGAAGATTTTCACAATTGCGGTACCCACAACTGCATATGGTTGGGTCCTTCGCCAGGATAATTGTTGTGGTTATTCTTTCTTTTCCGTGTACAATCCGCCGTAGGAGGACTTGCCCGACCTAAATTGAGGAGGAGGCCGACCAAGGAGGGGGTGAATATCGACCTGGAATCGGCGATGTATCGCCGACAGATCGGCGACTTGCCCCCGACAGCGAGCCCGCGCCCTCCGCGGCGGGGGGGTGGGCTATCGAGCCCCTGCCGACGATGAGTGGGCGATTCGGGGTCGATGCCATACCCCCGTGGGCCGATCCCCCCAGCCTCCACGTGAAGCTGCCCCTGGGAAGAGGAGGGAGGGAGGAGGAGGGAGGAATGGGGGAGGAGGAACGATTCCCAGGCGACCCCCATGTGACTCGGCAAAGCGCCCAGGGGGGAAGTGAGAGGGGGGATGCCTTCTCGGAAGGCGACGGAGCTTCTCAGAAGCCCTGGGCCTATCTGGGATATGCTTGGCATCTTCGGAGAAGGCTTATACACATTCTCGGAAGGCGCGAGGATTTCTGATGAGCCCCGCCACCTTCTGAAGGCTTGCCCCGATTCGAGCCTCGAGAGACATCATAATCTAGGCCTGTCAGAAGGGATTGGAGTAGATGGGGTCGAAGGATTGCGCCGCATCGCCGAGGCATCGGCGATGCGGCTCGATGTGGGGCCTGAATTTCTCCGCGCCCACTTCGCCGATGCCTCGCCGACGTCGCCGATGCATCGCCGATGCAACACAGCGCGGTCCTCCGACCCCATCTACTTGGACCCCATTTGGAGATCTCCATCTCTGAGCGCCGATTCGAGCCTCGAGTGATGCTAGACAGCAACTTACGAAAACTTTGGCCGCCCCCATGGCACCCAGTAGCGCTTCGACGCCCAACAGCGCGCAGGGCGGACGCAACGCATCTCCTTCGCATGGCGCAAGTTGGGCGCTAGTTGGGCGCTGTTGGGCGCTATGTGCGCGATAGGTCCAATGCAAGCGGAAGCTTCCGCAGTTTATTATCTAAGAGATAGGGTTCGAGCACGGACAGTAAACAATTTGCCAGGTGTGAGCTTGATCGGAGGTTCCAATCGTTGGTTATCTCCGTGTGGGCGCTTGTGTATGGAGCTTGTTTTTCTTAACATTCAGGCACGTTTACGTGCATGGCGTTTGACCCCCCCCTCCTTCGCCGCTCTTCAATCGAATACGAGCGTGCAAGTGCATGTTCGATTGGAACGGTTTCCGCACATCAAATCGGTTGCTGCTTGCTTCAGGTTCAGGCCCCAACCCCGTCCATGCAAGTAAACTTGTTAGAGTCTTTAAACTAGCCCATCGAAGGACCCAACCATATGCAGTTGTTCGTACGGCACTTGTGGATATCTGTTTCCTTGGCGCTCCCAATGGGGCCACGAAGCGTGTGAGGGGTGTGCCGAAAAAGAGTGTGGGGGGACGCATGTGGACGGTGGCACTGGGGCCTTCGGTGGAGCTCTCTATGGGCCACAAAATGTGTGAGGGGTGTGCCGAAAAGGGTGCGGGGGACGCATGTGGACGCTGGCACTGGGGCCTTCGGTGGAGCTCCTTATGCGGCCACGAAGCGTGTGAGGGGTGTGCCGAAATGTGTGCTGGGGACGCATGTGGACTGCGGCACTGGGGCCTTCGGTGGAGCTCCCTATGGGGCCACGAAACGCGTGAGAGGTGTGCCGAAATGGACTTGGGGAACGCATGTGGACGGTGGCACTGCGGCCTTATGTGAAGCTCCCTATGGAGCCACGAAGTGTGAGGGGTTTGCCGAAATGGGTGCGGGGGACGCATGTGGACGGTGGTACTGGGGCATTCGGTGGAGCTCCCTGTGTTGCCACGAAGCGTGTGAGGGGTGTACCAAACTGGATATGGGGGACGCATGTGGACGGTGGTACTGGGGCATTCGGTGGAGCTCCTTATAGGGCCCCGAAACGTGTGAGGGGTGTGCCGAAACGGGTGCGGGGGACGCATGTAGACGCTGGCACTGGGGCCTTCGGCGGAGCTCCTCATGGGGCCACGAAACGTGTGAGGGGTGTGCCGAAAAGGGTGCGTGGGACGCATGTGGACGGTGGCACTGGGGTCTTCGGTGGAGCTCCTTAAGGGGCCACGAAGCGTGTGAGGAGTGCGCCGAAATGGATTTGGGGAACGCATGTGGACGGTGGCGCGGAGGCCTTCGGTGGAGCTCCCTATGGGGCCACGAAGCGTGTGAGGGGTGTGCCGAAATGGGTGCTGGTGACGCATGTGGACTGAGGCACTGGGGCCTTCGGTGGAGCTCCCTATGGGGCCACGAAACGCGTGAGAGGTGTGCCGGAATGGATTTGGGGAACGCGTGTGGACGGTGGCACTGGGGATTTCGGTGGAGCTCCTTATGCGGCCACGAAGCGTGTGAGGGGTGTGCCGAAATGGGTGCTGGTGACGCATGTGGACTGAGTCACTGGGGCCTTCGGTGGAGCTCCCTATGGGGCCACGAAACGCGTGAGAGGTGTGCCGGAATGGACTTGGGGAACGCATGTGGACGGTGGCACTGGGGCCTTCGGTGGAGCTCCCTATGGGGCCACGAAACGCGTGAGAGGTGTGCCGAAATGGACTTGGGGAACGCATGTGGACGGTGGCACTGCGGCCTTATGTGAAGCTCTGTATGGAGCCACGAAGTGTGAGGGGTTAGCCGAAATGGGTGCGGGGGACGCATGTGGACGGTGGTACTGGGGCATTCGGTGGTGCTCCCTGTGTTGCCACGAAGCGTGTGAGGGGTGTACCAAACTGGATATGGGGGACGCATGTGGACGGTGGTACTGGGGCATTCGGTGGAGCTCCTTATAGGGCCCAAAACGTGTGAGGGGTGTGCCGAAACGGGTGCGGGGGACGCATGTAGACGCTGGCACTGGGGCCTTCGGCGGAGCTCCTCATGGGGCCACGAAACGTGTGAGGGGTGTGCCGAAAAGAGTGCGTGGGACGCATGTGGACGGTGGCACTGGGGTCTTCGGTGGAGCTCCTTAAGGGGCCACGAAACGTGTGAGGAGTGCGCCGAAATGGATTTGGGGAACGCATGTGGACGGTGGCGCGGAGGCCTTCGGTGGAGCTCCCTATGGGGCCACGAAGCGTGTGAGGGGTGTGCCGAAATGGGTGCTGGTGACGCATGTGGACTGAGGCACTGGGGCCTTCGGTGGAGCTCCCTATAGGGCCACGAAACGCGTGAGAGGTGTGCCGGAATGGATTTGGGGAACGCGTGTGGACGGTGGCACTGGGGACTTCTGTGGAGCTCCCTATGGAGCCACGAAGCGTGTGAGGGGTTTGCCGAAATGGGTGCGGGGGACGCATGTAGACGCTGGCACTGGGGCATTTGGTGGAGCTCCCTATGCGGCCACGAAGCGTGTGAGGGGTGTACCAAAATGTGTGCGGGGGACGCATGTGAACAGCGGTACTGGGGCATTCGGTGGAGCTCCTTACAGGGCCCCGAAACGTGTGAGGGGTGTGCCGAAAAGGGTGCGGGGGACGCATGTGGACGCTGGCATTGGGGCCTTCGGTGGAGCTACCAATGGGGCCACAACATGTGTGAGGGGTGTACCGAAATGGGTGCGGGAGACGCATGTGGACGGTTGTACTGGGGCCTTCGGTTGAGCTCCCTATCGGGCCACGAAACGTGTGAGGAGTGTGCCGAAATGGATTCGGGGAACGTATGTGGACGGTGGCGCGGAGGCATTCAGTGGAGCTCCTTATGGGGCCACGAAACGTGTGAGGGGTGTGCCGAAAAGGGTGCGTGGGACGCATGTGGACGGTGGCACTGGGGTCTTCGGTGGAGCTCCTTAAGGGGCCACGAAACGTGTGAGGGGTGTGCCGAAATGGGTGTGGTGGACGCATGTGGACGGTAGCACGGGGCCTTCGGTGGAGCTCCCTATGGGACCACGAAGCGTTGTACTGGTTGGGTGAAACGCACTGAGGAGGGAGGAGGGGGAGGACGAGAAGGAGGAGGAGGAGGAGAAAGCGGGGACTGTTATTTCAAAACGAGGACCCAACACCACAGCATGGTTGGGGAAAAAACGGCTCATTGGCAGGCGGTTCCTCTAGAGCGGCTTTGCGCATGTTTTTGTTTGTTGGTGTTGCTATCTGCCCACATCCTGTGAATCGCACAGGTGTTGGGTACATCGGGATCCAGAAGCAGATGTTCCAGCGCATGCTAGGCAACATGGGTGCTACTGCAGCCAAGGATGATTCGCACCCCTCACGTCTGCCATTGCCGCCGCAGCTGCTGCCGTTGTTGATGCTGCAGTTGCTGCTGATCCGTCGTCTTGCGGCCGGGGAGATGACCATTGCTCCACCTGCTTCTCTTGCCGCTTCGGAAATTAAAGCTGGCTTGCCGAATCATATTTCCGCTGCGAGTGAGCATCGCTACAGAGATGCTTGCAGTGGGACCAGCGCGGCGCAGGGGCGGCGTGCCCGTCTGCAATCACACGTTCCTGCTTTGCTGCGAGGGTCCTCTATCGGATTGCTTCTGACACTCTCCCCCGCAACGAGAACTCGTACAAGCGTTCTGGGTTGCCGACACCTGTTGTGTTGCTGGAGTGCCACGTGGGAGCTGGCGGTCCAGGCGTGGGCGGCTTGCTGACGGCAGCCCCGGTCGTGCACGGTTCACGTGGCTCACGCGCTGTGGCACTGTGGCACGCGCAAGGCCTGTCAGTTCAGTTCAGAGTGTTGCCCACCAAGTGGATCGTGCGCGGACCGAATGCATGTCATGTGGGGCGACGAGCTCCCAAGCGTGCTCGGCCGCGGCACCCTGGTAGCTGAGGAGTCTGATTGTCGTGATGGCTTGTGAACTCGGAGCAGGAGGCAATCCGAAGCCGTCTGTGCGGCGCAGTGTTGGACCGTGGCGTGCTGGACTATCGGGTGGCGTTAGCGGTGGGGCAGCGCCCGCTGCCGCCGGGCACTCGGTCGCGAGCAGGCGGGGCGCTCACGTGGTCACCTCCTCGGAGCCGCAGGCACGAGCCCCACTCTACAGCGACGTGCCCCATTGGGCGCCCGACGCTGTCGCCTCTGCTCGGCGGCGAGCGAAGGCGGCGGGACTTCTCAGAAGCCCTCGCGCCTTCTATGAGGTTTTTGTTCTGTCTTCGGGGGAGGCTTGGGAAACTTGCCAGAAGGCCGGGGGACTTCCCTTCTCATTTCCCCTCATCGCTCGTCGCCGATTTGCTTCGCGCACTTCTCCACATATTGGTGCGAGCTGTGGGTGGCCACCTGCGCTCCTGGCTCTCACGTCGTCCTCTTCGCAAGCTCGCACAGAGCACCGCGCGAGAACGGCTCAACGCACCAGCGCGTCGCACGCGTACGGGAAAAGAGTGCGCCGGGCACCGTGAAGCAGCTCTACCATCCTTTTGATGGCGCTTGCGCGCTGAAAGTACACTTTTGCGCAAATGAGTTGGCACACGCACTTGTTAGTTCGCCTTGAACCTCAAGACGCGAATCTCCTTTCTGCTTGGCGATCTGCCCAGGGTGGCGTTGTCTCCTTGCTTTCTTGCTTGCGTCGACGCTGGTGCCCACTGGAGCGCAGTGCTGAGGGCGCGCGCAGGCCGCAGCGCCGGGGCGAGCTGTGCGATCGCGAGGGGCCGGTGGGTCGGCCCTGCCAAATCAAGGGTACCCTTGTGTCCTGTGTTTTGCGGCCCGCGCCGTTTACTTTCCCTTTGACAATGTGGCCCTCGGAAGGGTCTCGTGTCCTCTCGCGTGCCATCTCCAAGCAAGCTCGCTTGTAGCATCGCCGCGCATGGCTGCAGTTTCCCGCCGGTGTGCTGGCAGACCCGCTCGCCTTGCGCATGTGTCGTTCCTGCGCGACCGGCTGCTGGTCCGCGCGCTGGTCGCCCCGCGCCGGGCCCCGCAGCCACTGCGACTCAGCGCTGCCCCTTCTGTGCAGCCCGGAGCCATCCAGCCTGCCGAGGCAGGGCGGTGGTCTTTCATACCCACACCCACGTCGCGGCAGGCGACGCGGTGGCAAGGCAACGGCAAGGCGGTGGCAACGCGATGCTGGCAGACGGGTTAGCAGTTCGCACGCTCATGCGACCAGCCCCGATCCTATTCCTCGGTGCGCCCGTTGTGCAGGCGGCTGGGCCTCCCTCCCCAGGCATGCACTCCACAATGTTGTGCCGCCTGTCGTGGCCTATGGGATCTTGCGTTGGCGATGCCTGGCATTTAACCAGGCACGGGTGCGACTGGCAGTCGCAGTTTACCGTCTTTGTGCCAAGCACGTGATTGACGTGCTCCCAACCATCTTGTGGTGTTGGGCTCTCGCTTTGAAGAGACAGCGCCCCGCGTTCCCTCCCCTCCTCCCCCTCCTCCCCCTCCTTGCCTCTGCACTCCGCATCCTCGCCTCCTCTTCCCCCCCCTCCCTCCCCCCTCCTTGCCTCTGCCTTCCGTATGTCGATTTCAGCACACCCATCACACGGGTCATGACCCCATAGGGAGTTCCACCGAAAGCCCTTGTGGCCGCGTCCGCATGCGCCCTCCCCGCCCGCCGTATGTCCATTCTGGCACACCCTTCACACGGTTCGTGGTCCCATAGGGAGCTCCACCAAAGGCCCCAGTGGTCGCGTCCGCTTGGGCCCCCCCCGCCCCCTGCGTGCCCGTGTCGGCGCACCCTTCACAGGGTTCGTGGCCCCATAGGAAAGACCACAGAAGGCCCCAGTGGCCACGTCCGCAAGCGCCCTCCCCGCCCCCGCGTGTCCACCCCTCACAGGTTTCGTGGCCCCATGGGAAGCCTCACCGAAGGCCCCAGTGGCAGCGCCCACATGGCATACCCACCGCATTTCGGCACATCCCTCACACGTTTTGTAGTCCCATACAGAGTGGGTGCTCTACATCAGGCTCAAGTGGCAGCGCCCGCCTGGCGGTTCCGCCCCATTTCGGCGCACTCTTCACGCGCTTCGTCAGCCTATAAGGAGACCCCTCGAAGGCGATATTAACAACGGCGGTATTCACAAGTGCATCTGGATGGGTCCTTCGTCAGACTGATTTTTTGTGTTCACTTGTTGGTGGGGCGACCCGCCTGTCTAAGCACAGCAAAGGAGGTCTGGAAGGCGAGCGCATATGCTCAGAGCTTTCTATTGTGTTTTCGTCAACACATTGTTCACGTTGCCTTGCCGCCGCTGTGTTGGTGCGTTTGGAGGCTTTGCGACTGCCTTGCGAGTCGGCGAACAAGTCTGTTGGACGCTACCCCGTGTTTCCTTGCGCTTGCAATTACTTTGCCAAGAGGGCAAACCAGCAACTGTTCTTTTTCAGGTCCGGCTGTCGCCCTGGTTATCGGTTTCGGCCCCCCCTTCACATTGTTGGTTGAGCGAGGCCCGGCGGTTTGGCAAGGTCCACGGGGGGCGGTGGGAGCTCAGGGAGCGCTGTGTCGCCGTCCGGATGTGCACGTGAGCAGCGCGTCGTTACACAAATTGCGATGTGCAATGGCATCGAGGCGACAAGGTGCACACCTCTCCTGATGCTGCAGAAAGACCTGCTGGGTACGCAAGCCGCGCGGTGCTCGCGGGCATCGTGACGCACTCAGGGACAATTGTGTGGACAGGTCTCGTGGTGTACACTCCTGTTGCTGCCAAAGCAGATGTGGCGCACGCTGTCCTCCCAGGCATGGTGCGCAGACGGCCTGGTTCACGGCAGCTGCGGTGTACCACACCCTGTGTTGTACACAGGCGTGGCGGTGTATTTTTTGCTGTTGGACAGTCTCTGTGTGGGTATGGTGTGTACGAGCGCCCTACAACACGGGACCGTCCCCTCCTCTACATAATCATAAGTACAGTCAAACTAGAGATGTTGCGTTGTCTTGCCTGCGCAGCAACAGCGTCGCGTCAGCCGCGCGCGCTGCGCGCCCGCCCGGGCCCTCAGCCCCCGCAGCGCAGGCGGCGCACCTCTCCGCGCAGGGGTGGGGCGGCGAGCAGCGCGCCTGCGAGGACGGGTTCCAGTTTAGAAGAGGTCCCCCCCTCTCCTCGCGAAGCCGGCCCACGTGCATCACCACCGCGGCGAGGCGTTGCAATCAAAAGCGTCGTCATCAGGACAAGTCGCGGCGAGCTGTCGCGTGGCAAACAAAATCGCCGTAACGTTGTATTTTCGGGCCCCCTGTGATTTGCTGGTCCTCTGCCCCGCGAGGGCGTCGGAAGTGCACGCAGGCACTTTGCACAAAAACCCTTCGGTGCACCAGCGCTGTAGACAACACGTGCACTCCGGAAGAAGTAACAATGATGCACAGAAGCGTCGCGATGTACGATGTACACTCGAGTAGCGCCAAAGAAACATGATCTACACAGGCGTTGGTGTACAGACCGCTGCTTTAGTGCACGCTTCAGAGATGTATACCGGGCAGGCATCGGCGCACAGACAAGCTTTGCAAGCAGAAACTGCTGCTGCAGCCAGCGGTCGCCCGTGGCGACACGAGCGTTGTGGCGAACGCTGCACGGTGTGCACCAAAGCCCGCCGCTATTCTCAGCAACCGTGCCCCGCGTGTCCCAAGGCTGGCAGTCTGGACACACCCTGAGGGTGTTGCCTACAGCCTACAGGTTGCGCGGGTGCTGGCAGGCCGCTGGGGGGATCCTGGCGCCTTCGTTGTACTTGTGCTTGGTTGTCCAGCTCGTTGCAGGGCCTTGTTCCCTTCTCGGTGGTGTGGTGCCCCCTCGGGCCTCTTTGGGTTGGGTCTCTTGGGCCCTTGGGGGGCTTCTTCGGGCCGGGAGTTCGATGCTCAAGTTTAGGTTCTCCACCTTGGGAATGTCTTGGGGCCCGGATGGAGGTCTGACCCCCGCGAGCGCTCAGTAAGAAATCCTCTCTGCTTCCCTTCGCGGCCGAAGCCTTCGTGCAGACCCCTAACTGCCAGAAGCACAGTCGCAGATCTGCACGGTGTGCGTGCGTTGTCTGTTCGTGTCGGGGGTCATTGTTTTCCTTTTTTGGGTGGCGCGCGTTCACACGTACATATCGCGCGCCACGTGTTCTTGCGCGACTGGCCGTCACTTGCTGCCCCCCGCGCGGCCACACAACCGCCAGGCGCGCCGCAAGAAAGCAATTGTAGGTGCGTGTGCGTTACGCACCTGGCCACCACACCACGGACAACATATTGACCAGTGATGTTACCTCACATCCCGTTTTGTCTAGGGCAACACTGACAAGGAGAGTTCTCCCAGCAGGTTGGGCTTCAGACGTTCGGCTGATCGATTTTGACAGAAAGAAACGGTTGACATT